ATATGTCTTATTGCAATTAACGTGTCTTTTTTGAGGGTAGGAACTTCTCATCTTTGCATCTGGAGTAATCAGCAGATAGTCTTGCATATTGTAAGCACCTAAATAATATATATTTATTGAGCTAAATTCCCCAGACAGAGGAGATGGAAAGGGGCAAAGGGTACATAGGTGGGGGAAAATTACTCCAAGAGTTCTCCTAAAACCATAGGCACATGATTAAGCGGGTGAATCGAACCCAACAAATCTAAATTCACGGTCAAAATCAGAGGAGGATCCAGGGTTCAGATCCCTGAACTTCCCATTCTGAGGACATCTAGATGGTGCAGCAGATAGAGCAACGGGCCTGGACTCAGGAAGATTGGCCTCAGACACTAGCTGTGTGTGACTCTGGCCAGGTCACTTCACCTGTTTGCCTCAGTTTCCTCCACTGTAAAGTGGGGATAATAGCACCTCCTTTGCAGTGCTGTTGTGAGGATAAAATGAGATAATATTTGCAAAGCACTTAGCAGATTGCCATATATCCCGTGCTTCCCTTTCCCCATTCTTAGTGACTAGATTGAATGTGGCCAGACTATCTGATAGAATATTAGAACTGTAAAGGAACTTTAACGATTACTTGGCTCAACCCAAGTAATTTATTTATTTATTTAGTTTGCGAAATTTTAATTGATCTTAATTTTTCTTAAATAAAGGGAGGAAAATAGGCCCATGCAGCAATATGCATGGGCGTACACGATATGCATATACATATACAGTTGTCCTTCTTGTATAGAGACACATTCAAACAGACCCAGACAAATAGATTTTGGGACTCAGAATCAATAGTGCAATCCTAATCTGGAAGCTGGTGGTTGCAGATATATGTAGACACATAAAAACACTCCTTCCTACCTTCCCCCATTTGCATGCTGACCTATAGACCTGGCCCTCCACATGGAGAGCCCTGAACACAGAGTCACAGGCCCACCTGTATGAGCACTCACACTACATGGTGGTAAGATGTTTTTTACCTCAGGGGTAACAGTCAGTATTCCACTACAAGCTAAGGTCCCCTAAAGGGGAGAGGCTGGCTAATGAGTAATGCAAGTGAAAAGGACTTTTCCTCCATGCCTCCCCACCCCCACACCAAGAGGTGGGAGCTGCTGAATTCATCAAATGAAACAGGAAATAAAAAATTAGCAAATCAAAGGTACGACCACATCTCTTAGGTACGTTCTCACTCGAGGCGGCAAATCAGCTGTTAACACATTCAAAGCCATTCTTTTGGCTTCCCCGACCCCTACACAGTCCATCCCCCATGCAGGGCTTGTGTTCAACAGTGGAGAGACTCTTGTGCTCAAAGCCACCCACACTTCCTTAGCCCATCCCCCTCCCCCCACCTGGCTTGGATTAGGGGTGAGAGCCTAAAGGGTGGTGGTGGAAGAGGTCAGGAAAAGCCAATGACCAGTTGGTTGTAGATTTTTTTCCTGTGCAAAGTAAAGTGATTCATAAGGGAACTAGACCTACGACGTAGATTTTCCTAATGGACCCATTTAGTCTTTTTAGGGAAATATAGGCATGTAGACATTCCCTCTGTCTCGCTGCCCTCACTGACTATCCCCTCTATTTCCCTCTCCCCACATACAGACGTGGATGTTAGCCGCTTGGTTCAGCTTTCCTTAGCCTCTGATGTAATACCTTCCCCTCTTCCCCTCCTCCTCATCTCATCTCCCTTTGCTTGTCCCTATATTCCACATACCCATTTTCCTCTTGGCTTTTGGAACTGAGAAAGCTGTCCTAAGTTCTTTCCAGTGCCTCTCTGTCCTACTAGGTAAGCTTCATTCCAATCCCAGCTAGCAAGCATCTGAAGAAATCCTGGATTGGCAGAGTTTGGTGCTTTCCTAACGATACTGACTATGATACATACACTACTATATATGAGAAGGGAAGAGAAGTGAAGAAAAACAATATTCAGTTTTCATAGGTAGCAACCACACCAGATATTTGCCAAGGCTATAGTTAGGAGGCATTCCAGTTGTGGCCACAACAGGTCTTCAAACCAATTCACAGGGGTGTGCATGTTTTAGGATGTATGTTTTCCCTTTGACAACAAAAGGATTAGGGAAACCAATTAAGAAGGGTGGGGTGTATATAGATGGGACACTCTCCCACTTCTAAATAATGCCCCCCCAACTCCCCACTGCCCCACTCTAATCCGGTTCCTGACACCCTAAGTAACGGTGAGTGGTAATAATAAATTTCAATCCCAGGAAGCAGAGAGAATTCAGGATTTTACTGCCCTGAGTGACAAAGTCTGTGTTGCCGAAAACATATTTCTGTTTATACTTCAACAGCCAGATGGGGAGCATTTCAAAGTCAGGGGCCCCCACGCACACTCCGGGGGCTCCGCTTCTCTCTACTCCCCCCTCCCCAACTAGGCTTGTCTCCTCAACAGTCTCTCGGCTTCCTGCCATAGCGCAGAGAGAACCTGGAAAAGAGCAGTAGGGCCGGCAAGACTGGCTCCCCCAGAGGGAAGACAGATAGAAGCAGCCCTAGCTCTGAGCAGAAAGGACTGCTGGATGGGAAGAAAAGCTGTGTGACCTTGGGTAAGTTGCTTAACCTCTCTGGTCTTTTGTTCCTTCATTTGTGCAACAGGAAGGTATCATTCCCTGCTCTTCCCTCCCTCTTAAGCAGCTGGAAGAATAAGCCAACAGGATCTGTAAGAGTGCTGAGAGATCTACTTAGGAGGAAAAGACCTAAAGAAACCTAAGGTTTAGTCCACAAAACTTAGCCTCTGATGATTCAATACATCCATCAATTAGTCGACCAAAAAGCACTTAGTGCCAATTTGTGCTGAGATTCCCTTCTTTCTCATCCTGGAGCAGGATTCATGTTGAGCACTTGTGCTCAGGGCACCAAGCATCTGTGCCCCCTCTCCCCAGAGGTGGCAGGCAGGCAGCTGAGTCAGTCCCTAGCCCCACAGGAGGAATGGGGCCCTAAAGTATCACATTGAGGGGAAGCATAAGACAACAATGAGATGGGGAGGAGGCTTTGTTTCCCAGTCCCCAAAAGCTTCCTGGCCTTGGTCCTGTCCCCAGCCCCAGGTGTTAACCCCTGGTGCCCTAGGCAGACCACCGCCCTCCTTCTTACAAATTTTTGGAGATGGTGAGAAGGAAAGAATGAAAGATCCAAGGCTTACAGACAATAGGTACCAGGTGTTTCCAGTTGGTCCCACGGGTACAAAGCCTCTTCCCAGAACCCCCAAAGTGGGGGGTAAGGGACAGGGTAGAGCTTTTATCAAGTTCTAGGTTCTGAAGAAAAGATGATGATGTCCAACTGAAGTGGACAGTGCCACTGCCAGAATAGGGAAGACCAAACCCACTTACTGAATTGGTCATCTATTCCAGTTGCCTTGGCACCCCAGTAAGAACAGACACCAGAATGGGGCAGCTAAACGTTACTGCAGTGCTAGCTTCCTCTACCTTCTTTACCAAGCCCATTAGACAAACCCCTCCCTATGATTTTCCACCTTTCTTTCCCCCTTGCTCCCTATCCACCTACCTTTCAAGGCAGGTTTGGCCTCTCCTGGACTACCGGCTCCTATGCCCCCTGCTGGGTCTGTGGCACTCACTCACCAGCGGCCGAGCAAGAGAACCCAATACCTCCCCCCTTCTCATCCCAATACAGAAAGGGTCTCTGCACTTATACCTGCAGATTCCAAGGTGAAGATCACGTGTTTCAAACAGGACATTCTCCTCCCCCCCAACACACACCAGGGGGAAGGGGGGGAAAGAAATAAGCATTTATTGAGCGTCTAATCTGTGCCAGGTACTGTGGTACAAATATTATTTCATTGGATGATTTCATTGATTGGGGTGATAGAGTGCTCTTATTCCATCTTCCTGGCCACGTAAAATGCATGCTGCCTTCTGGTCTCTTGCTAAAGGTTGGTAGCCTCCATGGGGGCAAAGGGACAGTGTGCTTCAAGGGGTTAAGAATATTAGATTTGCCTCCCAAACATATTTTCCAGTTCATTTCCCAGCACAATACACCCCTGCCTGTCCCTGCCTTCCCTCTTCCCTCTCGGTATCTGAATGGGCAAACGCGAGCCACCTTTTGTTGGCTCTCCCGGACTCTGGGCTTTGGTTAACCCCATGGTTGCCGACAGGCCCACACCCTGGGACGGGCGGGGGCACCCCCGGGGGATGAATGGAAAAGTGGGTCACGCAGCCACCAGCCAGCGAGACTACAGGAAGAATGAGCACCTCCTCAGAGGAGACCTCCTCGAGCTGGGGAGGGAGTTAGGGAAAAGGGGAATTCAGTTCCAGGACCTTCTGCATATATCTTCCCGAAGGATTCAATCCCCACCCCTGCCCCCGCCCCGGGACTCCTCACCGAGCCTCACTAGAAAGCCGCAGGTGAGAAGTAATCTTTCTCGGACTCGTCTACCTACTGCCGCAGGAGCCGAAGACCTAGTGCACTTAGATTTAGGGGGAGTCCCAGTCCCTGAAACCCGTTTCAGGGAGAAAAGAATGTCAGGCAAGAACGCTTTCCCGCCGTAAGCCATTTACTAAACCCTCAGCCCACTAGCTCTGAGACTGACACCTTCCCCGGAGGGGTTGTTGTATGGGTACCCCGAGAAGGTAATTATGGTGATTATTTTGCATTTATGTAACACGTAGTGTTTCCAAACTGCTTCCCGAACAGAGGGCTGGTTATTAAATAAATAGAACGCGATTACATATTATTATTTAAAAAAAAACCCTCCGCAAGAAAGTGCTTGCTTTCCACAGAGAAATCTGCATTTCCCCAGCTCCCAGCTGGTCTGCCTGGGTTTCTCAAAGCTTCAGTCTTGCTCTCTTCTTCTGCCATCCCCAAACCTTACCTAAACCACGATTTAACTTTTCTGGTCCCTCTCATTCCCCACAAATCAGACGCCTGCAGTCCAGCCACCTAATGCCTAGCCTCTCCGAGGATGTGAGCCTGGGAGGGACGAGAGTGAAAAGAAGAAAACCGCTTACCTGGGAGGAAGAGAGTGGCCAGGCTAAGAGCGAAAGCCCACCGACAGCCAGAGACGACCGCATGCCCCATCCGAGCCATTGGGGGGCTGTAGGTCCTGGGAGAGGGGGTCCGAGGAGAGTTCTCCTACCTCTCCCGAAACGATCCCCAAAGACGAGCAGGGATCGATATTGGGTTGCTGGCACTCCGAGTATCCAGGTCAACTCTCTGCAGTATGTCAACTCGGGATCGGATACAGCGGGGCTGCCCAGGTCGCAGGCACAAACCAGCCCCCCAGGGCAGCCGGCTCAGAGCCTCGGCAGATGCCCGCCGCAAGTTAAACGAGTCATGCCCCGTCTTCTCCTTTCCCTCTTCCGCCCCTCCCCGCCCTTCTCTCCCTTCTCTTCCACGCAGCCCCCGGCTGGGGCAGGAGGGAACCCCCTCCCCCCCGCCCCGCGCAGCTTTGGGTTTCTCTGGCTCCCGGAGCCCAAGTGCAGGCTGCCCCCTGATCTTCGGGGTCTCTGGGAGCGAAGGCGGGGGTTGCTCGGCACAATCAATCAAACAGTCCCCGTTCGCTCCAAGTTGCAGGCATCCATGGCTGGCCGGGGTCCTCCGAGTGTGGGCTCCAGGCGGGCTCCGGGGCCCAGGATCCTACAGCGCTGCGAGGTGACTGGGCTACCTCGAGGGCTTCTCGCAGCATCCGAAAGGAGAGAGACCCCTTCCTTCCCTCTCCGTCTTTCCCTCTCCGCCTTCCTCCCTCGAGCTGCAACAATGTAGACCACATCCAGCACGAACACACACTCTCTCTTTCTCACACACAGAGCTCCCAGCCTCTCACCCTCTTCCAGTGATGTCAGACGGGAGGAGGAGGGGTTAGCTTTAACCCCCTCCTGGCCCCCTAGGAGCCTGACCAGGCCTCGGGCAGCCTGGACCGCGCGATCCAAGGGAGGAAGGCCAAAGGTCCGGCTGCAGTGAGAGGGTGACTGGGGTCACTACCAGGTCCACCCCTGGGGTTGGGGGGGAGGACGCCCGTTTAGGTAGCTTTTTGCCAGGGGAAGGGCCAAAGGGGGAGCCTCTCTCCGGCATTACTGGCGAAGGGAAGTAGTGGCCTCTAGTGGTCAAAGCAGAAGGAGGGTTTGGCTGCCGAGGGGGGGAGGGGGCAAAGGGGGAAAGAGAGGAAGGACTCTTGGATTCTAGACGGGATTAATAGCTTCTGGTTTGGGGGCCGAGGATGAGGAATCCTGAGCCTGGGTGGGAGGCTCTGTGGTTGACAGGTGAGGCTGGAGAGCAATGCACTAACGTTTCTTTTCTAGATTTCATTATCTCCTCTCTTCTGGAAACCTTTTCCAGAAACTGAGCCTGGTCTTCCCCCATCGCCAGTGTGGTTACAATGTTCCTTTGCCTTTGGGAACGGAGGGGGAACTCTCCCTCCTTGGCCATTCCCTCCCTCTTCTCCTCACTCTGCGAGAGGGAATTTCCTTGTTAAAGTGGCCCACCTGAAGAGTGTCCCCATGAGGAACTCCCCACCACCCTCTCGTTTCATACCCATGCCACATCCTGGTGAATTGGGCACTTTTCCAAGGGGGCCGAACCCAACAGACATTTCTACCCCAGCAGCCTTAAGCTCTCTCTTCATGCCGCGGTTCCCCCACCCCCCATACTCCTAGATCTCCTCCAGGAATTAAAGGACGAGACTAGGCTCCCCAGTTGCAACCAAAGAGGGCAGAATTCTCTGTGCTGGCCATAGGAAAACTAGACTAAGCCCTTTTTGCCCTTTGTCCAGTCCCCAAAATGGGGCCTGGAGGGGAAGAAGCTTGATTTTGATAAAATGTAAATTCTGCCCCTAAACGGAAAGGAAGTGGGAAGGGGAGGGGAGATGTAAGCTAAATCGTGGCTGCTTAGGTCTTTTGACCTCTTATGATTTTCTGTGTTTCATGTTTTGAGTATAAGTTCCAGAGGATATAGAATTAAAGAGGACCTTAGAGGTAAATTTGTCCAATTCCCTTATTTTGCAAATGAGGAATGTGAAGAGGAAGTGACTTACCCAAGGTCACACAAGTAGTGAGTAGCTGAGTCAGGATTTAAAAACCCTCGTCTTCTGATTCCATTTCCAGTGTTCTTTCCCCCACTGGTTGTTCAGTCCAACTCTTCATGACCCATGTGGGCTTTTCTTGGCAAAGATGCTGGAGTGGTTTGCCATTTCCTTCTCCAGCTCACAGGGTCACACAGCTAGTAAGTAGCTGAGAACAGATTTGAATTCAAGTCTTCATTACTTGAGGTCTGGCACTCACCGCTTCTTTCCCCTCCGGGGGTGGGGAACCTGCAGCCTGGAGGCCAAATGTGGCCTTCTAGTTCCTTGGGTAAAGCCTGAGTTCAAGTTTTTCGGAAAAAATCCTTTTATTAAGGGGATTTGTTTTGTGAAGTTTGGATTCAGTCAAGGGGCCAAGCTTGAGACCCTTGAGAACCACATGTGGCCTCAAGGCCACAGGTTCTCCACCCCTGTGCTACACTACAAGGTGCTTCATAGTCCAACTCTGTTTACATGTCCACACACTAATATTCACACACTCAATCACCTATATACGCACCTTCTTTTATAATGGCAGATGCCTTGTAATGATTCTCCTGTAGTGGTGGGGGAGGGAGAGGTGGGATGGCCTGAGTTTAGGCTGGTCAAGTCAAATGGTGACTGAAGAGGTTAGACATCATCATAACAATAGCTTGCATTTATATAATGCATACCTCTTGACCACCCAGTGGGGTAGCTAGTTCAAATGTTATTATCTCCATTTTACAGATGAAGAAACTGAGGCTCAGGGAAGTTTAGTTTTTTGGTTTTTTTCCCCCCATGATCTTACAATTAATAAATAGTACCTTCTAGGGAAGAGAAGCCAGGCCTTCTGATTCCAAGTCAACTTCTCTGTCCAGTAGACAGTCATCACTTCGGTCAGCGTTTCATGGGACGAGAATGTGTAGTTTTGGGGGAGAAAAAGACTCTAGGATGATATGATTTCTGCCTTCAGATATCTGAAGGGTTATGCTGGGAAGGTGATGTAGAATTAATCTTCAAGGGCCAAAGGTGGGGTCTTCCCTCCAAAAAAGAACATTTCTAACCATTAGACCTTTCAGGGAGGGAGTGGGACACTACAACTGCTTACCTCCCTAACTTCTTTTAAACCCAAACTTAAAATCCTATCTTTTCCTTTTTACACCCCAACCAAAATCCCATCTCCTACCGGAAGTCTTTCCCAATCTCTCTTAATTCCAGCACCTCCCCTCTGTTAATTAGTACCTATTTATCTTTTATGTAGCTTGGCTTTGAATATTTTTGTTTGCATGTGGTCTCCTCCATTAGATTATAAACTCCACGAGGACAGGGACTGTCTTTTCCACACCTTCATGCATTCTCCAGAGATGCTATCTGCAGAAGGCGTTACTGGGTTGGGTAGGAAGTTGCTCTAGAGTTTCTAGAGTTTCCCTTCCAACTCTGCAGTGTCTGTGCTTCTCAGGACAAGTACCCTAAGGGAATTTGGAGGATCTCTGTTTATCTCACCTGTCTGTCCAAGGATGAGGTGGGATGGGTAGGAGGAAGTGTAAGCAGCTCTAAGAATGATCCCAGAATCTGAAACTTCAAACCAGCGACTTTGGAGGAGGCCCAAAGTTACCCTGCCCCTAGCATTACTCGGTAATTAGCTCATCAAACTAATTTCTCTTCAGGAAATAGTATTATTATAAATTTCTGAAGTCTTCCCAAAGAGCACATGGATAAGGGATGATTGGAAGTTGGTGAAATGTGGTGGTCCCTAACACACAACACACATCCCTAGGGAGTTGGCAATCCATGGTGCAATGGCAACAACAAAACAAAACAAAAACAAAAAACTCTGTTTGCAATTAGATGATCTGTATTCAGATCCCACTTTTGCTACTTGCTACTGATGCTTTACCCATCTATGACTCAGCTCATCTGAAAATGAAGGAATTGACTAGACTCACTCTAAGATCCCTTCAAGCTCTAAATCTGTTGTCCTTTAAGTAGGAAATTTTATGAAGTTTGGCTGAAGCCTCTGTCAAGGAAGACACACTCTGGCATAGTCTCTGCCCCAACCCACAAGGGCCGTCCAATCCTGGCAGACCTGGGGATGGGAGTGGGGCAGAGAGTTATAGCTGGGGACACTATAGCAGTTACCTAATTATTGTTATCACAATGCTCCTAGCTATTGTGATGATGATAAAACACCTGTATTTCAAAGTGCTCAGCAACCTTTAATTACTGTTATTCTTCTAGAGATCTCTGCAAAGCCTCCCTGTCATTGAATTTCAGTGATTCCCCAATGGTTTTTCTCTGGATCTACAGCTCTTTTCATCCACTGGAGGGTTGTGCCAAGATGGTACAATGGAAAGGGCACTGTATTTGGAGTCCCGAGCAACCAGATTATTCAAGAAGTCATCTTGGTTATTTATCACCTGGGTGATCTTGAATAAGATACTTGAGCAATCTAGGCCTCAGTTTCTTATCTTTAAGATAAGGCGGTAGTTGGCTTCCAGCTTTTAATTCTATAAATTCCCAATGCCTGCAGGGCTCCAGTTGACTCTCACTAAGCCTCACCCAGCCTGTGCCCATGTTGTCCTGCTGGGAGAATAGGTCCTACCATTCATACAGGGACAAGAAGGATATAGGATCCTTCATCAAGAAGAGACTTCCAAAGATCATGGAAACCAGCCTTCTGTGCTTGGGCAAGCAAGTCCTAAAACCAATCCAGAAGAGAAGTTCTCTGGATAAACCAGCCAACCAAGCTTTCATTATGGAAATAACTGGAGAGTACCAGAACTGTGGGTACCGTTCTAGGTTGGATAGGGCCTACACAAAACCAAACAGTAGTAATGACATATTGAATTGGGTCCTTGGCAACGGTAGATGTGACCCAGTGAATTAGGGCCAAGAGGAAGGGAGAGAATTGTATAAAGCTCAATCTCTAGCCAGCTTGGAACTGATGGAATGGAGGAAAGGTGAAAGGGAAGGGGAATTTCTATAATGTAGAACCAAAGGGAGAAGACATTCAAATTTCTCCACCCACATCCCTTTTCCTCAAATTGCCCCCTATGTTGGAGAGAAGAGTAGGTGTTAGGGCCAAGCAAATAATCAGGAATGAGAGGGAGCAGCAGGGAGGCCAAGGAAAAGGGTTTATTTTTAGGGGATAGCATAGGACACAAAGCGGCCAATACTACAATCAACCTTTGATTAGCTCCCCTGCAATGGAAGTGTTCAAGCAGAGACAGGATGACCATCTGTCAGAGATGCTGTACGGGTCATTCTTCTAGCAGATACAAGGTTGAACAGACCAGATGACCTCTAAAGTTACTTCCAACTCTGAATGTTTGATTCTATAATCTATGCTCATGGATGATGTTAGTATCATGTATAGTCTAAAATCTGAACAGTGGAAGACTCATTGCTCTAATTACATGACAGTTGATTTTCTCTGCTCCCTCTCTGTTCTTGTCCCCATCCCAGCCCACCTACTACCCAGATTGGGTACTGGGTGCAGTGCAGGAGCCCTGGGGAGTCCTTCCCCTCAACTTTCCTTCGAATACCTCTTTGTCACTTCCCTCCTTCTGACTGGATGCTGATTCTCCATTCTTACTTCCTTGGGAGGGAACACAGACTCTTCCCTGCTTCACTCTGACCCTCAGGTCCACTTACCTGTGATCTTGGGCCAGGATCTTATCTTCTACCCATCTACTAGAGATGGGGCTGATGGGGTTGGGATCTGGGCCTCAGAAAGGAAAAACCCTGGACTTTCCCACATGGCCAAATCTCTGGTGTTCCCCTGAGGCTATAATCCCATCAACTGGCCTTTCTTTGTGGACCTCCCTATGCCCCAGGCCATTTCTCCA